CTCGTGTCCTGCACGGGGGCAGCCAAGGCGCCGGCAGCAGGGAACAAACTCGCTCCCACTCAGATGGAAAAAATCTCCAGACTTGGCTGAAACCCTCCGGCAAGGACCCGTAAATCTGCTTGCTCTGATGCTGCCAGCATCCCACGAGCACTGGATCCAGGTGGAGAGTCCCTGTGCAGGCAGGAGAGGAGGAAGCTGTCTGCAGAAAGATGCTGAATTTATGTTACACTCGCTCGAGGAATGTGGTGAATGAACTCACAAAGCTCAGGAGAGGAATCAAGTGTGCTTCAGCCTTCACCTTGCCTGACTTTCTTCCAGGCTGAAGAGGAGAAGGCAACAAGCACGCAGCCCCACAGCCCATCTGAATTTACCACGTGCCATTTCTTGCAACAGCTTTCCCACTGTCAAGAGCCCGCATGGATGAAATGTAGTCATTGGAGGTGGAGTATTTCAAAGCTGGCCAAGCAGGGGAAAACTCTTCTGCTCAGTCGCTAGGAATGAAGGGCAGCAGGGACATGGGGCACACCAGCCTCCACCCTTCAGGGGGACAACAAAGACCCTACATGCTCAAAATGTGTTGGCAACCTGAAGATGGGGATCATGGCAGATCCCATCACTGCTCTTGCAGGTTCTCCTAGAAAAGCATTGCCTAAAAAGCATTTATAGGAAAATAGACAAGTGCTGGCCAGCTAGAGGACTGTCATGCCAGGGCTTGCCTCTCTGCAGCAATCTTTCTCCCTCTAACACTGCTGCCAATACTTATTTTAAGCTAAAGGTGGTTTTAAACCTGCACCTTCTTGATGGATCAACAAAACCAGAAGCAATGCAGAGTCTAGTTTCTATAACTGTATGAAACCTCTTCCTTCTTCTCCTCCTCCATATCTGCTAGATTTTATTTTGGTCTTCCCAGACTTTCCCTGGGCTTGCACAGCTCCTGTACCACCCTCTGCACACCAGCACAGCTGTGCCCACGCTGTTGCTTGGGCAGGTTAACCACCCTCTCCTCCATGGCCCCACCCCCTGCCTCAGCAGGGGAAAGCAGCTCCACCATGATGCAAACTGACCATCCGAAGGAGACTCTGAGGCTTCCCGAGGTCTGGCTTGTGTAACACTCACACTGAGAGCCAGAGCCCGCAGCAGAGCTGGCACAGGCTCCAAATTTCCATTTCAAAGGAAGTTTCAGAGTGTATTTTGCTTTACAACTCTCCAGTAGTGTCCCAGTTACAGCCCACCTCCCCCAGCAGGGATGCCAGGTTCAGAATTGTTAGTTTTGGTCATGCTTTGCTTTTTTTCCCCCAACTATTTCAACAGTGCTGTTACAGACAGTGCACTGCTTTCACGTTACAGCATCAAAAGCAGAGATCACAGGGAGCAGCTACTGACAAGCTGCTAAAACGCAAAATGCAAGGTAAAAAACCCTCAAATTCCAAGGTTAACTAAAAAAAAAAAATCCGTAACAAAAACATTTTGTCATAACTATTTTAGGAATGTTTGGATTTTTGCTTTGTTTTTAAAAGGCTTTTCCTGACCAGCTCCTTGCTGCTTTTGAGCCTGTGAAGTTGTAAGCACTGCAGCGAGTCTGGTGGCCAGTGTGCTCCATCCACATGAGGATGAAGTGCAGCCTTCTCCAAGGGATCGGAGCCGAACCTGTGACACAGCTGCTCCCACCTCTGCAAGGAGGAAGAGCAAGTGAAGGATGGGGATTGCCAGGGACACAGGGCTAAAGGGAAAATATCCAAATGCATGTGGCAAAACTCACTACTGACTGGAGACACGTGTGGCAGAAGTGACCAGCTCCGGGTGGGTGAGCACTTCCAGATGTCGGGGTCTGCCTCATGGAGATAAAGTCCCCGAAGGCCAGCCCAGCATCTCTCACCAACAGCTCCCATTGGAAGTTCTCACCTACAACCTCAAGGGCTCTTTAGGAGATGGAAGTGACACTGAAAATGGGACACTGCCCCAGCTCTATCTACCTTTTATTTTTTTAAAATGTTCTACAGGAGGAGAAATAATCCTGCAGTGACAACACATCATGCCTGCAGCAAAAGCACATCAACGCAGCCAGCTTAGGAGAGCGACAGCTCAGGCTTAGATAGGTCAGTGCTGGGACCTACCATTCCCTCTGCACTTCCTGAGCTGATGCTTTACCTCTGTTGCTAAAGGTACCTTCCAACCCCGCCTCCCGAGCTGGTACAAACACAAGCCAGTAAAGCACAAGGGAGTGGAGTCTGCTACCGGGCGCCGATAAACAGCGTCCATGTTAAAGGACACGCAAGGGATCCTTCAGAGTCAGGGCAGCACAGGATATTCTCTCTACTTGCCTGGATTAATTCCCAGAGCAATCTCTGGAGCTGCTCCAAGAAAGCTTTTAAGTCGCTGGAAACCGCAGGGCTGGCACCCCCACGTGGTGACTCCAAGCCCAGACAGCTTCTCTCAAATCTCATCAATAGTTCATCCACAAAGAGGTAACTGAAGGGCCCCGTCCCCAGCACACAGGGATTTCAGAGCTCCCCAAAAACCGAGGCAGCCAGCTGAGGCACCAGCTCCAAACCCCACTGCAGAGGGGCAGGACCCAATCTGGACACAGATTTTTTTCAAAGTGATCTCTTCAGAGTTCATTTTGCAACAGGAAGGAATCCCTATGAGACCTTTCCCTCATGGAGGAAAAACAAGTGTTACAAAACCTTCCTGCAGACGGCGATATTTCTTATGTCCGTAGGGTTAATCCTACAGATCGAGGGAGGCAAAGTAAGACTGCCAATGGTCTCTGGTGCAGTCGTGCACCACTGCACACATTCTGCAGGTTTCTATCCAGCAAGCTTGGTGCCCTTCCTACGTAGCGTATCCTTCAGGAATGACTGTCCCCTCCTGCATTGAAGCTGTGGATAGGAGAACTCAACCAGCGGTATAGGACGCACTTACAACATCTACTAAGTTGCACAGCTGCTCACAGCCACACAGTAGATGATCTTGCCACTCTCGAGCAGCTAATGAGACCAAACATTGAGCCCACTTTGCTTATGCCAGTAAGGAGCCAATGTAGGAGTGAAGAAGCGCTTCAGAGCCAGTGGGCCCGGTCACTAGCCCCCAGAAGTCCCCAAGGACTTCGCTCTGACACATGCCAGTCACACCCCCATCACAAGGAGCATGAGCCACCGCGGACAAAAGGCTCATTCAGAGATGGGGTGCTGCATCTGCTGCTGTGTTTAAAAGGAGGAGGGAGGGAGGCACTGTCTGAAGTGCTAGAAATGTTTAAAGGGCACACAAGGAGAACCAAACAGGCCGGGCAGCACCGGGACGCGCTGCGGCTCTGCAGGCAGCCAAGAGCAGAACGCGGCCCCGGCACGAGCAGGACGGAGCACAGAGGCCGAGCAAGGGGCCGGGCAGTCAGTTCAGAAGAGACAAAAAGCAGCTATTTCACAAAAGCTCACTTTCCAGGTTTATTAAGTAAAGTTAAGTGAATCGTTTTCATTTTGTGGGGATTCCTTTCCGTCTAACCCGGTGGGTTAGCAGAGTTGCACAGAATCACGGTTGGACTGTGATAACCCAAATACAACTTTGGCTCATCTCACCGCTGACACATATGGAATGACTTGGGGGTTATTACATGCTGTGTCTGCTTGAGGCAGGTACATGTACAGATCAGCACAAGTTGCAAATGATAACTTACATCCTTTCAAAACAGAGCAGGGCATTCGGCAAATGCGCTGCAATGAGAAGACATATGAAAAAGAAATTATACAGACTTGCAAATACATAAGAAGGTTCAAGAGATGCAAGAAATCTCAAACACAAGAAATGTCAAGAGGGGAAAAACCCACTTACTTTCAGACACAATGTGTTCAAATGAAAACCCATCTGTAATTTAAATTCCCTTCAAAATGGGAAACATACAGTAATGCAGTTAAAGAGAAACCAGGTCTTGTCCTGGGAGAGATGTGTCCAAAAACACTGATGCACAAACAGGTTCAGAGTTCTAAGCAAAATGTCCCTGGGCATTGGTGTACTTGACTCTTGGAGCCAGAGCAAAGCAATTCATTACACTTCTGGACTGCTGGGCCTACTGCTGGGTCTTGGTGGTACAACAGCACATAGGATTCCAGATGTCAGAGAGAAGGCAGCACACAAACTGCTGGTTACTGGGAGAAATGCCATGGCCCAGATCACTAGAGTAAGGACACCTAATTCTGGTAGCCTGGTCTCCACTGTACCCAACGTTAGTGTAATGTTCTGCAAGGTTCTTCAGTTCTTAGCTCACTCCTTTCTCAGCCTGAGTTGTTTCTGTCTTGTGCATGAGCACAACCGGCCGTGCAAAATGATCCAAAAAACATAAGGGACAGGACCAAAGAAAACTGGCTGAACCTGGGGCTGGTTTTCAGCTCCTATATGCAAATATCAGTTAAAGGTTGGAAATTTATCTACAAAAGAAATAATATAAATGAAATAAAAAATGGCACCGTCCACAAAAATTAAAAAAAAAAAACAAAACAAAACAAAAAAACCCAAAAAAACAAAACCAGAAAAATCTTACAACACAGCCTCATAAAAATGGCTTTGCAACGAGAGCTCAGTCACAAAATGAAGGGTTCTAGCTCTTCGTACATCAGAAGAGGAAACAAAGCTAAAAAGTACTAGTCCACATTCTCTTAATAAGTTAAACTTACTTTCCCTCCCCCTGTCTACAAAAGGGGTAGAAGCAAAGGGGAAAACAGGTTACCAAAAATTTAACAAAAAAAGAAAAAGAAAACAAGAAAATAAAAAGGAAAAAAAAAAGAAAGGAAAGAGAAGGAAAGAGCGCGCGCGAGAGAGCAGTCTGTGGTCAGAGGCTCAGAGCAGGGCTGAGTTCCTTTTAAGGGTTTAAAAGATGCAAAACAGTTCCTCAAAAGTTCCCTCTCTTCAACAGTTAGTTCAATGCCGTAGCCATAGAAACTCAAGTATATACTGGAGGAGAGATTCTTTCGGGCAGATCCACCATCAGCCAGGAAGCTGCTCAGCGTATGTTAATCCTCAATGATTATGGGTTCATCATTCATGGGCTGGCGTAGCTGCACTGCCTGGATGGGCCGGAGGATAATAGGCTTGTACGGGCGCCTGGCGGCTCGCTTGGCTTCAGAGGAGGAAAGCAGCTTGCGGATTTTCCTGCAGACAGCAAGGAGAAAAGAGCCGGTTACAGGGACTGGGCACGGAGGCGCGGCAGGTCTCCGGCTTCTCTCTGCGGACCCGGCCTGCACGCGCAGATGCTGCTCGCTCGCAGGACGGGCCGACGCCGCTTGTTTCAGCAACGTCTCCCCTGGGGAACTTTTGTTTTCTGATTTATAAACACAACACTGGAGAGGAAATGGCATTCTCTGCTCCAAAATCCTTCCCCTGTGGAGCAGAAGGCGTTCTGGTCCAGCCTCTTAGGACCAGGCTCTTCTGCTTAAACGTAACGTGAAACGGCTACGACAGCCAGTCTCCGTGTTGCGGATTTATTCCGATGCACGCAGACACATCGGCCGGACGTGCTGCAGGCGGCTTTGTGGGAATTTACTAAAGCCAAGTTACAACCAAACCTCTTCTGGCAATGCTGGCTGCTCCCCTGCCTGCTAATCCATCTCTCACAGAGCTCCCTGACGTTCTTTGTGCCCAAGCAGGTGCACACAGCTGCTGATCAAAAGAAACCCATCATAGCACAAGCCAGGAACATTCAGTCTCCAACAGAGCTACGTCTCAAGGCTAAACTGCTCCTCCAGGGGAGATCCAGGATGGCCTCTAACCAGCGAGCCTATACTGGAGCCTTTCCCCCACCCTGAGGAGACTGAAAGGGTAGGATGTCTTCCCCCTCTTATTTCTCCCATGTCATGTGTGACCAACCGAGAAATGAGTAACAGTCACATCTACTTAGGAATTTCCCTAAATGTTACAAGTCTAGCAACAAGTCTTATCAGATACAGGAAGCAAAAGAGAGAAAGGAGAGGAGACACACCAGTGTTTTAGAATCAGCAAAGTAAGTTCCAAAGAGACAATACAGAATGACTATTTGTTTCTTTTTGTCAAGATCAGGAGCTAAAGGAAGTATCCTAAAAAAAAGAAGTCATAAACCCAAAGCAGCTAGCAACAATGAAAAATGAACTATGTTATTAAAATGAGGAATTCAATTCCAGAGGATGCTGTGGTGGTCAAAGGCACACAGAGATTAGAATGGGAAGTGACAAATATTCACATGAGTAGTCCCCCAGTACCTGCTGTACACAGCCTCCAGTTCAGGAGCTGGGGCGCACGGTGGCTCTGCTAAGGAAGGAAGCATTGCCTCCTCTCACAGGCTCCTACCTCCACAATTTCTTGACTTGCTGTAAGAGACACGATACTACACTAGAGGAAGAGCAGCCACATGGCTTCAGAATCCACAATTTGACCTCCCAAAGGTAACTTTTTAAGTTTTTGGTTAGTCAACATAGCTAGGGCCAAGAAATCTTTTTTTCCAGTGCAGTTTTTTGCATCAGCTCTGGTCAGATTTGGTCAACTCTTCACTTGCTCTCTTTGCTCACTGAGCAGAACAAGCCTGCTCCACAGTGCTTACACATGCAGAGACATGTCTTTTGTTTGCTAAGTGTCCCCATTTCTCCAGTGCCTTCTGAAGTTAAAAGGCCACAGGGTGGAAGGAGGAGAGAATACTGTGAAAAAGTGGTGGTGGGGAGAACAAAACGTTTTCAGTTTTGATGTGATTTTTCCAAGACTTGCTTAGCTGAAGCTGATCTACTTTAAGCCAGCAGAGCTTCTTACAGTAGCCGTATGTGCTCAGACTCACTGCCATCAGAAACACGTCTCATAGCAGTTCTAGATTCTGATCAGGTCACTTGCTGCCTCCGCTTGCATAAATTATAAATGCCAAGTTCCTTACTGTGAGTCTTGAATTCAAAACCTTATTCCTTTCAGTCAACCAACTTTTTAAATGGCTCCCTCAAAGCCATCCAGGTTTTTAGCACCATTCTCAACAGGGAGAACAAAACAGAGGTGTGTGTGTGTGTGTGTGTGTGTTTGTGCAAGAACTAAGGAAAACTTACTTTCTGTGGCTGCAAACACAGCCTGACCCTCAGCTGGAGGATGATATGCAGATATTGTTGCTAGATTGATTGCTATGGAGCCAACACAAAGCTCAAATTGTTTCAGTGCTCACAAACAAGTCTCACATTCCTGATGCTGGAATGCAGCAGATGGTTCAGGGAAAAGTTGGAGGTGAAATGCCCGACAGAAAACCCGTGCCGCTTACAGCGTGACGTTGCTCAGGCTTCTCTGCTTTTCAACATGCTGCCAAATATCTCCTTTCAGCACTCAGCAGTCAGCTAAGCAGCAAGGCTGTCAGACAAAGAAGCCCATTATTTTTTTTCCCCCTTCTTTTAAATGGAAGAGATAAGGTCTTCCTGAGCTGATATCTATGGCTGCACTATGATTTCTGCACTAGAGGTGTGTGCACGGATCTTTCCTGCCTTGGTCAGTGGTTCTGTATGAGCAGATGATTCTGTCCCTCTGCAATAAATTGTTCTCACAACCAACATCACACTCAATGAATATTCTTGCTGCTTGTACATGCAGGATTATGAAATAAGCCTTGAAAATCTAAGGACTGAATTGGAGATTGCATACCCTGCACCCAAAATGGCACCTGAATTTGCCAGACCTGCAGGCCTGTAACAGGATCCCAGTACCTCTTCACCAGAGCAAGATGACAACAGGAATAAGTAAACTGCTTCCCCTGAAAAATTAAATACTTGTCTCACTTTAGTTCCAATTACATGCAAGATCCCACTGCTTACTTTCAAAGCACCTCACAGAAAAAGAGAAGAAGGGAAAGACAAGGGAAAGATGCAAGCTGGTATGAAATGCACAATTCCATTAAAAGTGACCATAGCAACAAATCCGACAAGGAAATTAGTTTCATGTTTCTTTTGACTTCTAAAAGGGGCTGTTCCTGCACTGAAATCTTATGATCCAATAGACCAGTAGTTCGGAACTTCAGTGTTACCAGCCGTAGCTTGTCTAAGAAGCCCGTTTTTGATAATAGGCTCACAGAACAGTTACTTGACACTTGAAATGCTCTGCAGGCTAAAGGAGGAGGTTGGGGACATCAAGACTCTTGACTATGCACTTCATACTGAACAAATGAATACTCAGAGTAGCCCAATTTAGTAGTGCCAGAAGAGACAAAGTACTCAAAACTCCTGACCTCTGTGGTCACTTGTAAGGGCTCGGAGATCCAGTAACTCCCATGTCCATCTCTGATAGGTACTGGAGAGAAAGGCAAGTTTCTGCCTGCTGGGGCACTGATACAGGTGGTGTTGATAACTCCAGGCTTCAGGCACAGACAAAAGCCAGAGAACACCTCTGCTCGCAGGGAGGGCTGAAAAGCAGGGCTGCGGCTCTGCTCTGACCTTCTCTGAGGTTACCAAGGACAGAGGGATCAAATTCTTGGGAGGAAACCACACAAGCATATGTCTCCACCTTTCTTACCACACCCAGCAGCAGTCTTCCCTCCCTCAGAATTACACAGTACTGAGGACATGCACAGAAAAGCTTTGTTTTAGGCATCACGTCACATAGCTTCTACTGCTCTGTCAGCAGCCTGTAAATGGAGTTTAAAGTGAAACTCATGCAAGGAAAGTTTCTTCTACTATTTTTATCCTGTGGGCAGAATAACAAGAACTAGCAGAAACAGTACCACCAAAGGAGGATGAGGGACACTGCAGGGCCAATCTCACTGCTACTGGTGGCACATATAAACCACCAAAGATATTAGAGAGCTCAGCCCCCAGAAACCCTCCATATCACTTGCCGGTTTCAGTACTCAAGACACATGAGGAGATGTTTTGGGAGGTAACACAAGAGGCTTCAGGCTGCAAGAGTGCATGGAGAGCCCCCTGTGTACAGGAGGCTCTGTTCCTCAGTATCAATTGTGTGCCAGAAGGCCCCTATCCTGTTACTGAGATGCTGCGTTGGGACCTCTAAAGGCATTTATGGATCTGAACCAGGTGAACTTTTCACCTCAGTCTTCCTCTCCTTACTGTTCATCTCTTACAGGAACTGCTCTGGAAGAAGAAGAATCTGCTTTCCCTGGAATGCAAGTGCATGATGAGGCACACGAGACATGGTTGGGTGTATCACAGCCGTTATCCACCTCTACACCACGAGCAGTCTCTGCATTCATTCTGTAGCCACAGATCTGCTGAATCTGTCTAACCACAAAATCAGCTGCAGCACCCAGAAGGAGCACAAATCAAAAGACCTCTCTTTAAACCCTCTGAAAGACCAAGTTTCCTACCTGGTTTCTTCAGTGGCCATGTAAAAAACATCATCTGGTGCATCAATCCAGTTCATCCTCCTCCTTTTCACTGGAGGCATGGATCCACCACGAATTAATCGGACTTTTGTTGGGTATGATTTCCCATTGAGCAGCAAGTTTCGGCTTGGTCCCTAACGTGATACATAAAAAGCTACAATTAGGGACTGCAACAAACCTTCAGTAGCATATGATAAGCACTCAAAGGAAAAGAGAATTAAAGTTTTCATATCAGTTGTTGAGAGTTGATGGTAAATATTTCCCCACTTGCCCATGACTGAACATAGAATTCACATAAAAGCAACTGTCCACAAGCAGTGGAAGTTAGGCACTTTCAATATGCAAAAGGACAGCAATACTCCAGCGACAGGACACATAATAAATGGAAGGCATTACCAATAATCTGTTGCTTATGTCTGAAAGATGACATCAAGGTTGAAAGACTGAACGTAAGACTTACGTTCCAGCTACTACCATAAATCTAGAGCAACTCTACTGATTTCAGGGAAGGAAATCTAGCTACAAAGCAAAACAAATCTAAAATTCAGAATTTACAGTTATTTTGGGGTACCAAACTTACCCATATCCTTTTTGTTTTAGGGAGGTTAATATTTATGGAGGATGGTACATAATTAAGTGTTGTCGAAAACAAATCTAGTACTACAAAGCTTAGCAGCTTTCATCATAAAATCATTTAGCATTTAAACCCACAGTTTTCTCATACAGAACACATTTGCTTTGTAAGGCAACACAAGTATCATCTTCCAGACCCACAGTAGCCCCTTCCACTCAAATGGAAAAACACAAGCTGTTGTTAAGAGAGGTGCAGGTGAAAGGGAGCAAAGTATTAAGCTTCTCAAATGCAGCTGTCCTTGATCATCTGAAGTCCAGTTCTTCCTGCTGATTAGCACATTGAGAAATCCCACTGAAATCAGTAACACTGGACAGTCAGGAAAAATGCAAAACAAGGGCTCAGAAACATTGCTATCCATAAATTAAAGCTGGTCAGAAAATGTCCCAGTTGTAATTTAATTCTGGTATTTCACAGGCCATTGTCCAAGGTCAGACCATCTCCCCAGATGCACTAAAGGTTCCTCTTCTGCCCACAAAATGGGAAACTGAGCATGTAGATGAGGGATGTCTGGCCTGGGATATCCACCCCAAAAGGAAAGGTGGGGACATGAGGTATCTAAGTCTTGAAGTGTCAGGTTATGGCAAAAGCTCAACCGAATTTTTACGCTTTTACTTAGAAAGGAGTTCTGTCAACCAAAGGAAAAAAAAAAAAAAAACAAACCAAACAAACCCACAAAACAAAACACCACAAACCCCTGTGTTTATCTCATTTTTATCTGAGGAGAAAACAAAAAGATAGATGACCTTTTTTTTGACCAGCCTTAACCAACTGTGTTAACAAGACCTACGTCCTGTAGAAAATTAGGTCTTTAGAGCTAAACAAACAAAACCCCACCTTTTAAAAATCCTACGCTCTTTAAAGCTGTTATATACAAGTGCAATAAGAATTTATTTTCTTAGTTGCCCAGCTCCACGTGAGACAAGACAACACCAAGGCACTACAGCAGACCACTGAAATACTTCAAGAACTGATTTTATATTTGAGATTTATTAAGGAAAAGGTTTTCAATAAGAAGCTTTTTTTTTTATAACCCCCTCCAGATTTCTCCAAGAAAATCCTTTTGTTAGTGTTGCAAAGGATATTTTCTCACCACTTGCTACATACACAGGAGAATGACTCAAGAGAAAAGTTCTTGGAAATACCTAGAAGGGGCACCCCTGTGCTTCCAGATTGCCTTATCTACCTGCACACAGCAACTTGTTTCAAATGGTACATCCTGAAACGTGGACCTTTAATTTTAAGTTCAGTAGTATACTTTATCAAGCAACCAGAAATCAAGGCAGTTCGGGGGTTTCACCATCAAACACCTAAAAAGTGTTAGGTCATTACAGATTTCTCCCACCGCACTGAGCTGGTTTTTTCAGCAGACACAAACAAGTAGCCAGTCTCCTCAGTGACAAGAAAGGAAGGTGAATTGATGGAGGAATACAGTTTAGTACTTCGGATCAGATGCTCAAGTAATGAACCAGATAAATGCCTTGTTCTTAGAAGCAGACTAGCATGCTCAGGTTCTAGCCCACCCTCATGGTACTGCACACTATCTGAGAACATTATTAGAGTTAACAGTGCTTGTGATCACCATTCAGTGACCATCAGTCATACCTGCTGCTGACTGATTCATGTCAGAGAGACTCCACTGACACTAATACATTGTGGCAGTTCACCTAATAAGGCAAGCTCCATGTCATCAACACCAGAAGATCTTTTTTAGGGGGAAAGAATTTATGCTTCAAGTTCTCCCCCGAGTCTCCCGTAAGCCATGCCAAAGGGGGGAGCGTGACACGCAGGCTCTGCCTGGCCCCTTTACACCAAGGTGAACTTCCTGAGAAAGCATTTTGCCAGAGATGCACCAGACTGGCTATTTGCTTCTGTCCTTTGATAAAACTCAGCATCATGGATGACAGGCTAGGAATAATTTTTACTCAAGAAGAACATAAAACCTAAGCAAGCATTCTCAGCAGACAACTTGCACACCAACTTCCTAAAAAAAACAAACAAACAAAACAAACAACAACAACAAAAAACACCTACAAAACTTGTTTTCCAAACAATCCCTTCCATCTTTTAAAACTTCCTCCTTCAGGGAAGCACATTCCACCTAGAAACACATCCCAGAACTTTGCTATAAACAGCCACTCAGTTTCTGTATAAGCAGAAACAAAAAGTTTCATCCAAAACAGAATCTCATTTACATATAAATAGACAGATTTGAGGTTATAATTGTATTTAATCACTTTGATGTTTCATATGTCCCAAAATAATAATAATCTTTAAACTTTTTGATTAATTGGGAAATATGACCAGCTGCAAACAGCAAAGACGGAAGTGAAACACTGCAGTTTAATGAGATGTTCTATCTAGTGTGGGTTAATATTTCTTCTTTTCCCTGTTTTGGTTAAATGAACATTCTCTTACCATTTGTCTGGTTTGTCCGTGGTTAGGCAGACCTAACAAACAGGAAAGAGAATAGAGCTGGTAAGACCATTGCTTTTCCAAGACAGAAAAAAGTACAAAATCAAAACACACGCAGCTGTGATTGCAACTTGCCGTTTAGCTACAAAGGAGAGTCGTCTACCAAACTAACTTCTCCCCTCCTAGAAAAGTAACTGAGCAAAGAGCTCTCTTGACAACATGATTTGAAGAGCAGAGTCCCCAAATTAAAAACACATTCCATTCTCCCACTCTTTTCTCCATTTACTCACACCTTTCTTCAAACTACCACTAAAAGTACACCTCCTCTTTCAGATGTGAGGTTTTCCTCAAGTCTTGGGAAAAATCTGTTTTAGTTTTGGAGGAATCTACTGACATCAAGAAGGAGAAAGGAAGGAATTATACACTGTCACAAATTAAATCCTTCCTATCATCCTTGGATTCCTAGAGATCTCTTCAGCTCAGATGTTATCTACAAGCTGTTAGCAAACAAGGCTGTATCTGCTGACCCTACCACAAGTAAATACTTCCATAGGCACAGCTCCATCAGTCGGAGCACAGCAACTCCAGCTGTCACACAAAGCCCTTCTCCAGTAAGCACGGAGCACAATGGCTTGACTTTACTAGCTGGTTTGCTGGACTACCAGGTACTCTATCTACCATGCTGCCACAGAGTATGTACCAAACTGAATGGTCTGTATAAGAGACCTGCAGGACACACAAAGGTCCTGGGATATAAGAGAATGACATATTGCTATAAGGGAGCAGGATGGCATGGAATGGAATGGGAGACCCAATAAACCTTTTTGTCAGCACTGTTTAGTTTTCTAAGATGCACGCTCCCAGAAAACATCAGTGCACCAAACCATCCTCAGCCCCTTCTGGCCGAGAACAAAAATGTCAATACATCAAATCCAACAGGTACTACAAGACAGGCATCAGCAAGTGCTGTCGCTGGCTGCAGAAGTTACCAGTATGAATTCTGCTTTCACATTAATACTAAGCTTCCCAGCTTCACCTCTGAAATGTTCCACTGCAAATGAGTTAAGCTGTGATGAAACAGCAAAGCTTTTAAAAGAATCCAGCAAAATTAATTTTTATAGCTTATGGTCCGTAACTCCTTGAGGTTCTCCTTGGTAAAACCAAACACAATGTACTCACAGGAAGTGTGCCAGGAAACATGTGGCACAGCAAACTAACGGGAGGGGGGAAGGCGGAACAGGAGACATTTTCTGAGCACTGTGTGTCACAACACCACAGTAAAATCAACAGTTGATATATCAAGTGTATTCTCCATTCTCTGTAGGTGTATGCTGTTAGCTACTTCAAACATGAAGACGGATAGTTTCAATTTTTGCAGTGTTTTTCTGCCCAAGTATCCACAGAGATGAAGAAATAGTTGCCAGAAAGATTTCCATCAAATCTGTAGAACAGATATACCAGGCACCAAGTAAGAAGATAACCCTTGGATACTGACAAAGGCAACATAGGTGGTGCCAGATAATCATTCCTTTTTACATGGGAGCAGCAATTGCATCCAAAACGCAGCTGTGAGCAGCTGTTTGAGATGGATGGCCAAAGAACTCCACAGATGCTGGGAGACAGCACAGCCAGGAGGATGCAAGCTGAATCTGTTGGCTTCGGAGCGAAGCTCCAGCACTTGTTTTTTCTTCCCCCTTCCATAACAAAAAGATAACATTTTCTCCTTTCACAGGAGCTCCAAGAGATGTAAATCAACTGATGATAGTCTCTGGATTGAAGCCACACATTTAATTTTAACCACATTACAGATCTACGCTTTTCTTATACTAGGAACATTCTTGATGCTAGAAAAGACTGGCCTACAGGAGCAGCTGATACGTGGCTGCTGCCACAACTACTGCTGGATGCACAACAGAGCAGAGTGCTATTCCCAAGCACCCAAATTAACCCAGAATATTCCACAGTGAGAAGAAATCTTGAGACCAATACAGAGTGAAGACTGAGCAAAACTGTTATTTACTCTAAGCCTCAAAGCTTCAGAGCCCTCCAAGAGCAAAGAAGCAGCGCTAACAAAAGGGACACACCTCACCCCCTAAGCTGCTGTTTCCAGGCTAAACCTGCCATTGACAACTTTTTGCTCAGTAAAATAGGTCACAAAAGAAAGTTACAGTTTCAATATCATTTATACTCTTACAGTCATAAGGTCTCAATCAGCATATTAATCTCCACTATCTGTGAATTTCCCCTTTAGTCACACTTCGATAACTGGAGTTTGCAAGAATAGAGACATTAAAAAGGCCAGCTTCAGTTTGCAATTAAAAAAAGAAAAAATAATCACAATAAAAGCATCTGCAACTGAAGCACTGCTATTATACGAGTAACTGTTAGCCACAGTGGTCAATAAAGAGATGCAGAGTGACAGTGTAACATCTGTAACTCACTGCAGAACAGCTGTCTAGTCAACAGGATGTATCTGTACTGGAAACAACGGATTCTCACCCAAAAGTTTTTGGTGGCTTCTGTGCAGTTGAGAAATTGAGATCTACAAGACCTCTAAGAACTCAACCCATGCTCAGTTTCTGGGTAAAGAGTGGTACAGATAAGGTAACTCAACACATGAATCTCAGTCCTCCCCAGGGTGCTTGCTCTGTTTTCACAGATCAGTGTTTGAGAGAGATTTCTCAAACACAGGCATCCATAAGCAGGTTAAAAATGTAAGACAACATATGACTATAAACCAGGAGGGAAATACGACAGGGTTCTGGTAGCTCCTCTCCAGGAAAAAAACTTTATTTTATGGAGGGATGTCTAGAGAAGCCACAGGATATAAAGTATGAGTATTCCTTTGATGACCTCCAAGGTGCAACTGCTTGAATTTACATAGTTCCACATAAGAAACAACACTAACCTCCTCCAAATGAGATTAAAAAAACAACCAAGGAAAAAAGGAGGTGATTTCAGAATTAACCAAACCTAAACCATAAACTATAAAAGTCTACAATGATGAATCTAAGCAAGCCTTCCACTCTTTTGCATCCAAAGAAATTGAAATACACTCTGAAAACTCAAGACTGAAATGTTTTTCTCCATAGCGCTGAAAAACCCCAAAGCCCTAGAAAGATCACCTGCCATTCAACTCCTCCTGCCAGTCTCCTCTATACACTAAAATAAAGAGGAAGTCCCAGAGGATAAAATGAAGACAAGGTAAATTGAAGGTGTATCTGCAGATAAGTATAAATGTCCTTTGCCACAGACAATTCTACATTGTTACTGAAATGGCAATAGAACACCTATCGCAGTATAGAGATTAAAAGACACCCTCAAAGCATGCCTCCACTCCCCACAACTTAGTGACAAAGACCTCAGACCTGTTCCTCAAGCATAAGCACAATTACAGAGATTTTGGCTCACCAGTCACAGCAGGTTACTACGCTCTAATGATCTTTTCATTCTTGAAGTATCAAAGATGCAGATGAATGTACTTTCACCTAGAGAAACAGAGGTGGGGAGGGACTACCACAAACAGCAAAACAAGTCTCTTCCTACTGTTACTTTGCAGCTTTGTTTTATCTTTTGGGGATGGGGGAACCACCTCTCTGTCAATCAACCTGTTTCTTCAACAATCTCATATAATTTGCTTCTAATGCTTTCAGGATTGTTTAAAAAAAAAAAAAAAAAAAAAAAAAAGGAGTACCTAAACTTCTGGCAGCAACTAGAGCACCACCTCAAAGGCATGCTGTGGGAGTAGGGAATATCTGGCACCTGACCACATGGGGTGGAGTAATCAAATTTCCTGATGGGAAGTAAACCAGCACATCTGGACCCACCAGAAAAGCAGACAAGCATGCTCATTGCTGAACCCGTCCCAACCCTTGTGATTCCACTGAGAGGACCTCAACATCTGAATGGCAGCATCCAAAAAATTACTCCCACCACTCAAATTCAGCCTGCTTTTGTGCAAGTCCACACAATCCACACCTGCCATTTCGAGAAGCAGGAGAGCCTAAACCCCCAGCAGTGTGCCCAGCGCAGACTGGAGTGCAGAGGTATTTCCATGAAGTTACTAACAGCAAGCATCAAGAAGCTGCAAAATAAGCACCAACCATGGCCACTTTTCTGCTTGGGCAGAAACCTTCCAGTGCTTTTCCATGCCTGACCATACATAGCATTGCTTACATATTTACAGACCATTTCATAATTTGGCACAAGAATTCTGTACAGAGCTGATGCTAGTACTAAGGAGTAAAAGTAGCCCAGCTTCCAGCTGCTGGACGTAACTTGGACGTATTGAATTTGTATTTACTCAAACTGACTCCAGTCTTCAGCATATTCACCACACACAAAAAAGATGGGTCCTTCATCTCATGTTAACATAGTGGGGTTTTTTTTGGTTTTTTTTTTTTTTTTTTTTTTTTTAACCGATCAGTTTATCAAGCACTTAGTCACAGATGGCATTTTGGTTTTAACTTCTGTTTACTAAAGAGAAGTATCATGCAGAACATGCAATATTCAGTAATATTCATAAACACATCTTCAGTCACAATGAATGTAGAGAATTTAACACACACTTTCCAATCAGCAAGTTCACTATACTAAAATACATTGCTTTCAAAAATTCATACGCTTATTTCTTTTCCTCCACCTGGGATTCCATCCTTCCCAACAGTAACAAAAAGATAACAGTACCACACTGGTGAGGAAGCTAGAGAAAAATATAAAAATGCATGCATGAATGAGGCTTGATGAACACTGATTTAACTTCCATGTCACTGGTTCACCTGAAGTAGTCTGTGTGTTGACATACACACACATACAGTTTTTGCAAGCTTGTAAGAATGCTTCAGTACCCCTGTCTTTCTTAAACTGCCAAGAGTGTTTAACTGCTGTGAGCAGACCGAGTGTCCACCTTCTAACAATGAAACACTACAAAAGCTTTCAGCTATGCAAGTGCAACGAGCAGAACAGAGCAGAAATGCTACAAAACACCACCTAAGCTCACATTTTCTTAAAGTTCTGTTGTACGTTAAAACAATGTTAAAATTGCAATTTACTTACCTAGGTAAGTTCCTACCAAGATTGGCAAAGGGAAAAAAAGATTTAAGATTAAAAAAAGGGAAAGATTCACATAGTTCAGAATACAGTAGCCCAGCCCCATGCAACAAATACAGAAACACAGACTGTTTTGGTGGTAATGAAACACAGAAGTGAAGATAGTTGTCTGTTAGACAGATAAATCCAAACCAACATTAAACAAAAAGTAACTCCAAGTAAGAGATTCCACAAAGAAAAACTTTAATTTTGGATAAGTAGTGGTTTGTTACCCACCTCCTTCCACTAATCCCTGCACATTAAGCTCATTGGATTTAGACAGCATTTCCTAAAATGCTTGGTCTAACAGTTCACACTACTTTGCTTCACAGTACCTCACCAATGATGTGTGTGTTCATGCACAGCTTTACCTTCTGCTAAAAGTACCTCAAGGACCCTGCTAATACTTTCTGGGCAGCAATATCCAACTACAATGAGTCAGCAGCTACCCTTGGACAACGATGTTGAGAATGGAGAGCTGCTGTCTCAGTATTGAGTCAATCAATATTATCCACTTGCATTCCTAAAAGAGCATCACGGTACATTCTGTCTGGCTTTAACACATTGTAACACATTGCTTAAAAAAAACAAGAGGCAACAAACCCATGGAACCTTACTGCTTTAGTATTTGCTGAACCAAGCTTATGTAAACTAGAAACCACTGAATTATTCACTGTTCTTAGAATTGGGAGTATCACACATCATGTACACATACATGCGTGTGTGTGTCTATATGTGATACAGATCACACACACAGATTCCACTTAATTACCTACTCAGGTTTGGGGGGTACATTTGCAATTCTGCCCTTGCATTGTTATCTATTCATTTCTTCTCATATTAACAACACCTGCTCCCTAGCACTGCCATGGGATATGCACTCTCCTGTCACTCAGTCAACATTTGCATCTTACTCCATGCCATCCCTCATAAAGGAAATTGTTTTCACTAGTTAATCCATAAAGCACGATGTCCAGCTCCTGATTGCATTTCCATATCTTTCTCTACAGCACCAAAAGAAACTAATCACAGTATCACAGCTAAGCTGAAGACAAGTGAAAAAAGTTTCACTTAACATCTGAATAGAAAATCCTAAATACAATTCTTAAAAAATAACCTATACTTTTGCCATATACTCTAAAGCAAGGAATTTGCACAGGCACACGGTTCTTCATGTATCCAAAATGCATTTCAAGTAACTTGTCATTCTTCCACTGTTGTGCTGCTGCTGTCGAGAAAGAGTCATCCCTTTACAGAGCACTGAACATTTTCTCTCTTGACAACAGGCAACATTACTCTGGTTTGGATATCAACGGCAAAAGCCAGGACATGTATCACACTAGTCATTAAAGGATGGGTATTCCCCGCTCCTTCCAGTCATTCCCAGATAGGCAGACTTTCTCTGGCTGGTTACCCTTGATTTTGGAAGGGCAGCTGGGACTGGTGCTGATTGAGGCTGAATTTTTGCATACAGTCAAGTCCAAATTTTCTGCAAGGTCTAAGCCAGCCAGAAGGAAAAACAGAAAACCCTTTGAGAGAAGTCTGGTCACCTACACAGGTGGTGCCAGAGGACTTCCTTATATTCCCACCTCAACAGCTGGTTTTGATCAAGAACAGCATTTCCATTTTCATGCTTATCTCTTGATAATTAAACTAGTGCCATGTTAGGCTGATGAATGCTTCCACAGTTCTAGGAGTTCATACACGTTTCCCCAAAAGAAGCAGAGAAACAATGAACTAGAACACATTAAATTAGACTGACATTCCATTTTGGTTTACAAGTCCCTAGCAGTAGAAGCAAGGTATTCAAACAGTTAATTACCCTCACTCAAAAATGTGCAGCTTGTTTCCAGCCAAAGTTTTTCTGCTGTACCTTTCGGCTACTGCAGCTCATTATTCCATTCCTGTCTAGCCTAAAAAGCCCTCTATTATTACACTTCTGCTGCTCCTGTCAGCAGAGACAAACATCTACAACTTCCACTTTGATAAAAGCATTTTCCATTATACAGTGTGTTTTCCAGTCCCTTCACTGTTTTCATGGCTCTTCTATAAACCCTCTCCAATTTTCAGCATTCGATCCACTACCATTTTATCAATGCAAGTTTGTTGCTGGGAAAAGCCTTCCCTTTATTTCAGCTACTCATTCATGTTCTCTCTCTTTCTGCCAATTTTAGAGTGCATGTGATGACCCTGAAAAAACAAATTTGATTAGATGAAAGCTAACATGGTGTAAAAGGGGGGGGGGGGAGGGAATCTAACAAATCTAACAATGCTCCCTTCCTCCCTTCCCCCAGTAGGGATTTGCATAGCCAAGTATCACACAGAACCCACACTGGATTGCTGCAACAGCATCCAGAACATAAAACATCCTCTTTATCTCTCTGGAGGAAGATTCATAGCAAATATTGTCAGTCAAGCTCCAGAACATTAATGAAAAAGTAATAAATGAATAATTTTTTAACATCTCACTGCACTCAACAGCTTGTAAGACTCCATGTACTTTTCACGCTCCAAAAATAGGATTCTGCAGCAATTTGCTCATGCTAATCTCATGTTGGAGGAGAGCTGGGAAGGGCACTGTATGCCTAATGTTGCCTCCAATGTGACTTAAAGACAAGGAGAACAAAATAGATGAAAGGACCACACCCTTCTTACAAAATAGAGTGGAGGTAGTGAGGAGAGCTGAGATTAAGAATATTTTCCTGTTCTTGGAATTCAAGCACCTGTTGAAACTCTCAATACCTGGACAGAAAAATCATATCCAAAGCTTGAAAATGTTCAGCTCTCTAGGGCTGAGTCAGAAAAAGGAAAGTTAAAGATACTTAAGCCAGAGTTACAGTAGCAAGAGGAAAAACAAACAAGCAACAAAATTCCAAAGGAAAAATCTGAAGCACTGTTAAGTTCAGCAATTTCCAACGTTTCCAGAGTTTTAATTACTTCTGGCCACAGTCCACTAACAACAGTCTCCCTTTCTTTTCTTCCTTAATCTCTTACCACCAAGTTTCCCTTTTCCCAGCCTTTCCTCACCTCCTCCTACTACCTCTCTTCACACAAAGTTCAGCCTGACCAACCCACATCTGCCTATAGACTAGGTGGTCTTCCACCTCCAACCCCTCCACCCTCAGCCACTGTTCAGGCACATTTCGGAACAGCGTTTCCATTTACACACAAACATTCCTCAGGGCACTTGATTAACTTTTCTGAGGGCTTAATCTGGCCACTGACCACCGATAGTCCTAAACACCAAGGGATGGTAGAGACACAGATGAGTCACCTCCAGCAGTGTTGCCTGAAGGAACACTCAAAAACCTACGTGAACAGATCAGTTTTCAGCAATGTTAAACAGTCTAATTCTAAATGAAGGCAGCAGATGCCATGGGAATTTAAATGCCTTAGAATCCTGCCCATCAATATAAATAAATATATATATAAACATGGATCTTAATGCTTTGCACTAAGCAAAAATAGAAGCTTCTACTCCCTGCAAAAGCAATCTCTTGAATTTATATTGTTTTATGACCTGGCCATGAGGAAAGCTTTATGAAGCCATCACATGCAATCAGCTCAGCAAACAGCCATAATTTACAGTATACATACTTCTCCCATGTGTTTGGAAGTAACAGCCCAACATCAAAAGGACTGTATCACCAGCTAAGAGACTTCAACTAAAGCCCACCATAATAGATGTCCACCTGTGCTATGTCAGAGACTCTGGCACTGTGACCTGTCTAAACTGTAAGGTATCTTCCAGGTGCCACCAACGCCACACCACATCAGCTATCCTGGATAAGTCATAACATTACAGAAGGTTACCATCCCCTTGAAAACTATTTCAACACAGGTGGACAAACTGTCTCCCTGCACCTAAAATTGTGCAGAAAGAATATTTTCAGCCTCTCCATACAGTCTTAATACAAGTTGTGTTTTGGGTTTTTTTTTTTTTTTTTTTTTTTCCAATACACTCCTACAATGACCTAAACCAGGTATCACTAAGGGTAGAGGAAAAACATAAAAGCAACAAAGAAACCCCCACAATTTCCCTTGCTATCTATAGGGGCTATGCAAATGAAGACTCTGACTGGTTGTAACAACTCGGCTTTACTCTCATTCATCCTTTTCTTTCTATTTTAGGTCAGTTACAGTCAAAATCAGTCATTCTGAATAGATGGGTTTATTTCAGTCCTTTTATACTAATTCCTTGGTGCCTAAATTCTGCTTACAAGGCCTCATCACACATGCTGTCATTCGCCCCTTCTTCTCAGTGGTTCCAACTTGTGCTCTTCCTCTCTCCTGACCTCCTCTTCTCCCTTCCCAACAGCAGCTCCCCCAAACTAATAAGCCTATATGACTCCATCCAGAGCCAAGAGAAGCCTCAGCACCATGCTCCCAGTTCTGGCACAGCACAAGTAAACTGGTGTTAGCCATGCCCAGAGCCAGGAAAGCTTACCAGCTTACATGCAAGGCAACTGGGAACCAGTGTGAAGTGGCAGTGCCACACAAACTGGCTCCAGGCCAGAAACAGATCCACGAAACTTCTACCATCTGCTTCCCTGTGCGCAGCGGATCTCGATTCAAATTCTTTAAATCTTGTTTCCTTGCAGGTGGTTCCTTACCCTCTCTGTCTTAGCAAAGCCTCCAGCAAGCCAGGCTCAGAAAATATTTCAAGTGTCAAAACTGCAGTGCGGCAAACATTTTCCATTCACAAATAAATGTCAGCTGACACTTTTAAACTGAACTGCTCACAAAAATATCCAGTTAACACTCACTGCTCCAGCAGGTGAACGGATTCTGGGACTGATTTGTACTCCACTACCTAGCAGTTACAGGAACAAATCCTACTCCAGGTATTTCAGTGGCTGGCTAAGAACAGACCGAGCAGACAAAGCAGCAGCTGCTCGGTGAGAGCTGGCCTCTGCACAACTACACACATATGCTTCAGAGTAACATGTATTCTGAGGAGCTCAAACAGGTACCTCACCAAACTTTTTGCAAACTGCAAACAGCAACAGTTATGAGTGAAATGTATCTAATCAAGTATGTATGCCAGCAGAGAGACATCTGAAAACACAAAAACAAGAATCCTCCATTTCCAGCAAGCAAATGGCCTCAGCTTGTCAAATCCAGTACTCTACGCAGAGCGCGCCTTCCTGAAGGAAGGATTGGTTCTTCCCTCCTTTGGGCCACCACGTCTCAGAGTTTCAAGTGTGTCATCTGCTAAGCGAATCCCCTTTCTGGTGAGGACATTTAACAGGGAGCAGCAGGCATGCCATTAAGCAGGTAGTCACTACGAGCTGTGGAAATTCAGTGAGCTACTCCACATCTATAGCCCTTGTTACTGGACAAAGCTTCCGAGGAAGCCAAACTGACCAAGGCAGCGGGGTTTTGTTATTCTTGCCAAAAGACAGAAGTTAAAAAGCATATTAAAAATTCAGCAACACAATATCAAGGTATAAATTTCCAAAGAAAGCAAGACAGTAGAACAATCACTGTTCTCATTCTTATTGTATTCTCTGCATGCACTTATACATGCATGCACATAAATATTTATAGTAGTCATCCACTGCCTCCGCCATTCAACACAGAGCTTAACATCAGGGCATGCAGTGTCAGCCATTTCATGGTAACACATAAGCTCAAGTTCTGGTATTTGCCTGTCTCACAATGACATTTGTATACCCTAATCATTTAAAATTGGTCTGTTCTACTGAATTTGCTTAAGTGACGTCATACGTACGTTTCCTGCATTATCACAAACTAAAGCTTCTAAGGTCTATTCAGTAGTCAGCACAGATTAATATTTAACCTGTGGAAATTCTGAAAATTATTTCTACTGCAAGTAGAGAACATGCAGACAGTCCCTCGCTGGTGAGACTGTCCACTCACAGTGGAAAATACAGGCTTGAACTTGGGATGTGAATAGTGTCTTCTATTTCCTTTCGTCGAAGTGAATCTAAAGTAGTTCAGAACATGTGAAGTTGATTTCTTACAAGTCAAACAGTGACAACACCTAGTTTCAAACCAACCATCACAGCTCTCAGCAGTTTCACAGAACTGCTAGAAAACTGTTCTGTCAACTTGAGGAATTAGTAACCAGTTCTGAGCATAGCATTTCATGTCTTCAGTACAGCTGTACGAGTTGTTGTCTGCATGTGAAAAGCCTGGAAGGTGAGCAGCGTAACACTGGGTGGAAACGGTTACCCAAGGAACACTTAAACGTCAACACAGAAGGTGCACACAGACTCATTAGCCACAAAGCACAGACAAGCCAGCAGATGAAACTAAAAATCACTCTCCTAGCATAAGCTGAGCGCAGCTTCAAGGTCTTACCCCTGCTAGGCATCAACAGGCGCTTCTTCATGTTGCCTGATAGAGCACAAGTGAACAGAAAAGAGAAAAACATCACATAAGCAACCTGAACAGCAGCAGTTTAAAAAGTTGTTAATATTAAAACACAGTCAATAAGATATCAAATGTTTGCAACTGTATCTCAGATAAGTCACAAAGAAAGTTAAAAATTAAATATGAAAACCAAGAAAGATCCTCTGTACCTCCCTCCCTGCTCAGTCACCATTAAACCAACTGTTCCTCTCCCCTGTTAAGGAGAGCTACCCTCCATGTTGTCACTCCCATGAAGGCCATTGCAACAGAGCCTTTTATCCCCATCTGAGCAAATGCCTGCCGTTTCTCTTCCTCAACCCTCTCAGGCAAGAGCAACTCTTCAGAACAGAGCCCAGGAGTCTGTGGCAGGAACAACCTGCATCTATCTCCCGCTTCAAACATCTTCCCATTGACTTTTACTCTTGAGATGAAGCCCAAGCCCCACTGCACAGAGATGCTCAGTGATAAGGCAAACAAAAGCAAAGGCTCTGGTTCTGCACAAGGCAGGAGCAGCTTTATGCCACGCCAGATCTGGCACACCGGCCTCCCTCAGCTAAGCAGCAGCCTGCATTTCTCAATGGCACACAGCCTCTGGTAGCTTTCCTGAAAGCCAGGTGATCCACAGGCTACAAATCCACCTGGGAACTGCACAGCTACTACCTACATATTAAAAAGCTGTAAACCTCAAAATTATAAAAGAAACACCACTGGAAAAAGCTATTAATCTCTTAATTTTCTCATACTACTCAATTAAAAATCAAAGGGAAGTTTCTCCTCCACTATCCCATTTGCAAGGTTGGTCAACTTAGTAGGCAGAGCTGCACCACACAGCAGCTTTATGTGAATGTACCACCCAGACAGAGCACATCACGTGTCTTACCCAGGAGAAATCAGACAAATGACATTTACAAAAAGAAATAAAAATCTTCTCTCAAGAATAAGAAACTGGGAATTTATATAAAGGACTATAGTTTTAAATAATCTCCTTCAACTCCAAAAGGACAGGAAAAAAAAAAAGCCTGTACAGATAGTATACACATTACAGAAAAATATTTACCATCCATTCCGTTGTGTTGTTCATAACTTCTTTTTCCCAGGATAGTTGGAGACCCATTATTAATGACAGGCGTGAACTTAGCAGGAGTCAGATTGTTGATAGAACTGGACAAGCTCTTTGCAGGATCTGGTTTCGGAGGACATGGATGAGACTCTGTTGTAAAACAGCAAGTTTTTTTTTTATCAGTGAAGATAGTGAAGATACTGGAATTATAAATCTGAAAACAACACGCAGACTTCCAAGGTGACCCAGTATACCTTCCCTTATATACACACTATCTCAGTCAGTTTTCACTGGAGATTGCTATTTATATAAAGCACTTTACATATATTTAGGAATTTACGTCTACTGAAGATGTTAAAGTCAATGTCATAATATTATCCTAAAATAAGAGCCTATAACAAAAGTACTTTGTATCCATTTCCTAAACACTATTCTCCAACAACACAGGATTATCTTGGCATGCTCTAAATTAAAGGCCATCTTTGGGCAGTCATGAAACACTCCTAAACCCTGGGGAAACCACGACTTTGCCAGTTCTGCAACATTTGTGAAAACTACAATTTCTAAACTGGCCAAACGAGAGAATTCAAAGCACTGCCATAAAAAAACCACAGAGGCTGAATTTAAACTTCTGGTCAAGGCAGAAATGAGTGTCGCTGTTCAAGATTTTGAGACAGTTACAAGTAACGGCAAACGAGTTTTTCTCCCACAGCCCCAACAGCCACGTAACGTGTAACTTAAAGCACACTGACCGTGACACCTCCAAAAATATGTTCTCACCACTCCATCACCCTCCCTCCATTTTTTGCACTCCCTTTTCCAAGCTCAATAGTCAAATGAACACACTGACACAGTGCTAGTGAAATTCTGTATTTCTACTAAAAGCAGGATTTTATCCAACAGCAGAACTTCACCCTTTATTTGCTTTCTTCGGTTGCACAAAGGTTTCTCAATCTCTGTATCTCATTAGTATACAGTAGAAGTACAAGACTCAGAGAAGCAGTAAATATTTAATAAACCCTGAGCCTTACAATATTTCATTGACAAAGATGTTCAAAGAAACACAAGATCAACTCCAGTGTTTCTTACCAAGAGTAAAAAGGCAATCAATTTCCCTGTTAGTCAGGAAGCCTTCAAAGTACCACTGTCCAAGCTAGCTCACTGTGGTTAGACTCACGTTAGACTGCTCTAACAACCTGAGACATGTCTTCAGGGTATCTCTAGCAACCAGCAACACGAGGGAGAATGATTCTGCATTGATTTGTAGTCAGGGCTGGCATGTCACGTAGCACCACATTAGATGCTTCCAGCGCCTAAACCTTACACAAAAGTCCTGGAAGGAGCTACTCAGTACTTCCCCACACATCAGCTGATGAGGCCCATGTCCTCAAGAAAACTGTAAAAAAAAAAAAAACCTAAAAACTAAAGAAATCCCACAAAACCAAATAAACACCACCAAAAAAAACCCTCGCAAAACAAACCACAAAAAAACTCCACATCAACAAAAAGAAAGAAGCAAGTAGAGAATGGAAATATATCCCCCTTCTCTACTTTCCATACAGAACAGGCAACAACTAATTCACAAGCTGAGGGACACAGTGCTGTCCTAAACACAAGAAGCTTCTTGGAGGACCCAACTATATGAAATGCCTCCGTACAGAAAAAAAAAATTGGAACAGTGGAATGACCAAGTGTTCCTAAAAAGTTCTACCTTTTTGCCTCCATTAGCAGATGGTAACTTGTCCCTACATACATCAGAAGCCACAGCAACTACATCCCTCCCTTCACTGGCAAAAGTTTCTGACAGTTCTGTGAGCCCAGAGTGGACTGCTGAGACCCTAGGGCTGTCAAATTAAATAGGAAAAGGAAAGAGGACAAGTTCATGGGAAAGTTTTCACATTTTGTTCTTTAATCTAGAACCAGCATCTAAATCCAGAACCAAATGGAAAAAGAAATGGTTAGCAGAAGTCGTTAGTAGGGTTTTTTGTTTGGTTGGATTGTGTTTGGTGGTGTTTGTTTTTTTTTTTTAATACCTAAATACCGGAGTACTGCTTCTAAAGGCTTTCGAACCACTTGCTTTAATAGCAATGGGTTTTCTGATGCCTCAGGTAAACGTGCTGTGCCTGTAAACCAAAAGAAAAATAATTAGCGGGTAAAGATATTTAGATACTATAGCAAAACTAAATTAATAACTCAAGAGTCCTGAAAGAGCTTTCCAATCAAAAGAAATTTTACAGGTTGCCAGCATGTCCTGGCAACAGGACACAAATGCAGAAGAGTGATAAATGTACTCACAAACACGAGTATTTTAAAACTATCAACTCATGAATTTTCAAAGTTATTTGTCTAGCCTGAAGTCAGAACACTCCGCAAGTACAGCTAGATTTTGTGAAACTACTAGCTACATGGAAGAAAGCATCTCAAGAGGCTGCAACTCAAACTTTGAGGGAAGGAATCTCAAAGGGCTCCTTTGCCAGCAGATCCCAGCTGCACCAGCACTCACACTCTGCTTTGATGGCCGCGCTGTTGATGGGCAGGTAGGGGTGTCTCGCAGCGTGCCAGGGGCGCAGGATATCTCGACACAAACGTCTGGCAATTCTTGTCAGTTTTGTTGTGTGGAGATAGAAAGCTTGTCGAGTCTTCATAGCAAACTTGGGACTACCACTGTTTCGTACTGGCACACCATGAGGACTCTTAAAAGAAAAAAAAAAAAAAAATTTATAAAAAGTCATTATTAGAAAGAATGTTTTTAAAGAAGAGCAAGAATATGATATAAAGTTACTTTCAATTACTGATTCACAGACCTAAAAACAGGAGCTACACAAAAATACTTTCAGCCCAGCAATTCCCATCTCCCAAATCTTACCCATCAACATTTGGAATTTTCTTCCAAAATATCTTAAAGGATAAAATGAAGGGGGATATTTTCTCTTCACAGCTAAGTATTTATGTGCTGTACCGAGTTTTAAAGCAGGAATCCAAAAGCCAGACCTGAAGAAGTTACCTGATGCTATCACATGACTGACTTAGTGTTACTAAGTCAACAGAAACACTCTCCAACTTTGGGTGCTTACAGTTGCTCTGGATATACAATGCAAACTCTTCATAACAAACATAACAGGGAGACACGAGTAGCCTGATGGCTAAAGACATCACAAACTCACTTCCAAAAGCAACTTTATAGCATGTTAGAATGTTTTTGTCTCAAAGCTGCAAGAATTTCTGTTTTAATTCTTACTCTGTGCTCAATGAATGTATTTAGAGTTGTCAAATTCTCACTGCATGTAATAAAGACTACTACTGAAAGGCATTTATGGACTACAGAGAGACAAAGCTATAATTTCTTCAAGAAATGCAACTAAGTCAACAAATAAAATAATGAAAATAGTATCTTATCTCAAACCTACCCATGGCTAGAAAATAGAGGAGGAAACTTCAGTTTGAGGAGAACGTGGCTTTCCCCTATTTACATACTTTTGATTAACAAACAAGAGGTATAAGGCTGATAAAACCTGGCAGTTATCTTAGCAATTAGGAAGCTTCAGAGGGGAAACAGAAGCCTGCAGAGGACAGAGGTTAAACAAAAGAAAGATAACAGAAAGGGAACGATAGTGAAGACTAGGAGAGAAGAAATGTGCACTATCCTGCAGTTCATGTGATGCCAGCTACTTTTTCCAGTGGGCTCAATATACGATGCTTCCAGATTGAACACCCACCAAATTCAGAAAAATTCTGAGACCTTTGTTTTTTTAAATAAAAGGAGAAAATTAAACAGAAGCCACTTAAATAATGCCTATTCAAACCTACCCAAAAGGAAGGATTATTTTTTTTTAAAATGGAAGTAAGTAGAAAAACAGGACAGGGGATCTCTAAAAAGCCACTAAATATTTGAGGTATCTAATTTTGAATATGCCTTGGGAAAGGGAACAGGTTTCAGGAATAATGAATTCCTTTGGGGCAGGGGGAGAGGGGAGGAATCTTCTTCCCCCTACAGCAAAAAATCATGAAAACCAAATACCAGAAACACTGGCTGACATTTAATTTTTTTCCCCATCTTCATTAGGTTACCTCTATGCATTTGAAGGCCAGTTTGCTAAACAAACTATCCCCCAACCCCCTCCCCTGGGCAGTACTTAGCAACAAATTATTTATAGCCGAAGTTAACACAGCAGCTTCTGTAAGACATGAAATACCAAACCCAAGGACAACAATGGGGGCTGAAGGCATTCTTTTTGCTGTTAAATATTTAAGAACAGTGAACAACTAGTGAAATACCATGGCACTTGGCTTTCCAGGCAAGGGTACCAAGCAGCCTGCTTTGCAGATACCTACCAAATTATTGCGGTTTGGTCCTGGTCTCTCCCCATCTAACCGTGTTGGCATTTTCAAGCCACCGTATTTCTTCCAGTATGTCCAACAGGATGCACAGAGGCGACACTGCATGTTAGGGGGACCCCAAGAATACCACTGGTAAGACTGTGTGGCTAGAGATAACAAAGGTGGAAATTATATATATCCTTAAACAGGATTAATTTTCAGAGCTTATTCTCGTTAGAACCATCACAAAAGAAAACCCACACAATGACAGTGCAGAGCTCAAACAGACATTAAAATACCAATTATGGTGTTACTGTCATCACCACTCTTAAATATACTTATGATTTCAGCAGATTTAATTACACTTATAAACCCCTTTTAAAACATGAACATTTTTAAAAAAAAAAAAAAAAGCTAGTAGTATGGGAAAATTTCCTGCCAATGGAATCGAAACTCCTCACTTTGCAAGACTGGTAGACAACTTCTACATCGCATGGAAGAGAGGGAAAATTGTCTTCAGGAACTCTCCATACATTAATGTTATGACTAAAGAATGTACAAAATCTGTGACTTGACTTCTCATACAGCGTAACGTTCCATCATCTCTAAAGGCTCCCTATAGAGGAGCACAATCTTTAGAATTCAGTGTATTAGCATCAGGTAGCAGATCGAATACAATGATATCAAATATTTTGATATCTACTAAAACATTATGAATAATTTGTCAAATTCACCCTTTGGTGATTTAAGTCTTTTCTCAATAGCTACCTGTCATTACAATAGGACATTTCCCAACTCCCCCTTCAATACTTCATAATACTATTTATACATGTAACACGAGTAACTAAAAAAAAAACCAAATTTGCTTAAATGCAACTGTGCCAAACTCTATCCCCAATCCTTTCAAAGCCACCTCTCCCACCCCCCACCCCAACACAGCTTTTATTTTTATTGTTTGCAACACAGCACGCACACTCTCTATGCACAACTGCCATACTGGTGCGTCACTTACTATAACAGCTTTCACAGGCCCGTCCTGCTCCTGTGTTCTGTGCCTGTACTCCAGTACCATTTACCACTCCTGGTTTGACATTATTTACATTGATCTGGTTGGGGTTTGGCTTGTTACTTAAAACACAAAGCAAAAAGGAGGACAAACATTAATTGAAGCGTGCAATTTCCTGCTTGAATTTCAAAAGTACAGCTCAAAATGTTTGAAGATTTTGAATTTTGTGTGGTTTCCAGAAGAAGCTGTACTCACCAGCATTCTGGCTTCCACGAACACACCATCTCCAATACTTAAATAACACCAATAATAAAAGTAACTATAATAACAGATGCCATTTGCATGAGTCCAACAACACACTGTGTGTCTGAAATCTTTGGACATAGCATATACACTGAGATTTTCATTAATATGAGCCTTCTGACAAGTCTTAAACTATTGTCTGTGCTTCTAACAGAAAGCATTTAGATTTCTACTAAATGGAAAAAGTCTGAAAGCCTAACATCCATAGAGCAAAACACATTGATGACTATCATGAATGCATTTTAATATAACATCTGAATCACCTCAGCTCATCCC